CCGTTACATGCACACCGTTACATGCACACCGTTACATGCACACCGTTACATGCACACCGTTACATGCACACCGTTACATGCACACCGTTACATGCAGGCCGCACATGCACACCGTTACACGCACACCGTTACATGCAGGCCGCACATGCACACCGTTACACGCACACCGTTACATGCAGGCCGCACATGCACACCGTTACACGCACACCGTTACATGCACACTGTTACATGTACACCGTTACATGCAGGCCATACATGCACACCGTTAAATGCACACCGTTACATGCAGGCCGCACATGCACACATCCCCTTTGGCCCTTTGCATTCTTATGTTAATGTCTCTCTCAGTTTTCCCCATATTTGTGAATATTTTTTTAAAATAAATCTTTTTTAGTTTTTGTTGTTGTTTAAATTAAAGCCATGTTGATCATTATTTGAGATCTACAAATAAAATATGTTAAAACAGTGTTATGACAAGGATTACGTTTAGAACAGTGTTATGACAGGAATTACATTTAGAACAGTGTTTTGACAGGGATTACGTTTAGAACAGTGTTATGACAGGGATTACGTTTAGAACAGTGTTATGACAGGAATGACGTTTAGAACAGTGTTATGACAGGAATGACGTTTAGAACAGTGTTATGACAGGGATTACGTTTAGAACAGTGTTATGACAGGAATTACGTTTAGAACAGTGTTATGACAGGGATTAGGTTTAGAACAGTGTTATGACAGGGATTAAGTTCTATGTGACAGAGAGGTGTCAAACACCACCATTGATTATTAAACAGAGATTACATGATCGTATCGATCATTGATCTGCAATCCTACCAAACATAACCGTAAAAAATGTGAATGGCGGTGGCAAATAATATGGCTATAATAAACAGTTACAACCTTTTCTAAGAAAAGAGATTTACGACGTATCTTTGCATACATCAAAGATGCAAACAGATGAGAATGCAGAGAATCAACATCATCTGTTTAAACCACCACTAGATAATGGCAGCGTGTGGGTTAATAGACTGCGATGGTTGGGACATACAGAGAGAAAGAGAGATAAAAAAAAAAGAGTCAACTACTGCGTACACAGAAAAGTAGACGACGGTGTGGACCAAGAAGACAGCGGAGAAATAAAACAAAGGAAGACTTACAAACAGAACTGGAAAGATAAAGCCAATCACAGAAATAGATGGAGGCGGTTGATAGATGTCTCAGTGAACTTCAAGGGTTCGGAATGCTAACAGGAAAAAAAAAAAGAGAATTTACAGAGGGTTCGAATTATGAGACACACATGTCACTACTAAGACAGAAGAAAATAAAATACAATTGAAGATCACATTTTATTGATTAAATTCAGTGTTGCAAGATTAGTTTTAGCTTACACTATACAGTTGCCGCTAAGAGATTAGAAATTCTGATATACAACTAAATAGCTGAAGCGTTGTTTCTGACAGGCGTAGCACAGCAATAACATAAATCTATTTCTTCGTTCGGTTTCCACTATAGTTGCTACATAATTAGGCGGATTTTCGCAGACTAGCCAAGGTCTGCGGATCAAAGACCGAAGAACATAAATTTGAATCACAAAAGATCTTTGATAAAATATTTATACCTGAGAGGCGCATAATTAAAAAAAAAATATATAGTTACATTTTTTTTCAAATAGTCTGATTCATGTTCTGGGCAACCCTGGCCACTTTCTGAAAGCTTTGATTCAGTCTAGATAACTAGATCTATTTATCCATCTTCCAGATAACCAAATCGCTTTTCTGAATAACCTAATCACATGCACAGAGACCAAATCCCTTTTCTGAACAACCTGTTTTCCCCCCTATACACTCAAGTCCCTTTTCTGAACAAATTGGTTCCGCTCCTTCACATCCTGGTAGAGATTGTGAGCAAACTTGTACCATTTGTAAACATCTTTATCCATTTCTGGACACACTGACTCCATTTCTGGAAAACCTTGTCTCATTTCTGGACAACAAGGTACAAATACTGGACAAATTGAATCCATTTCTGACCAACCTAGTTTCATTTCTGGATAGCCTGATCTCATTTCTGGACAGAATGTGACATCTGAATAGCATGTTGCAATTTCTAAACGGTCTGACTCGATTCCTTGACAAAGCTAGACAGTCTAGCACTATATATTAGAGCAGCATAAACTTCCTACCCTTAGATGGCCTGATATTGTTTTGCTGCTTGAAGTTAGTATTTTATTGACACCCCCCGTCTCTCCCCTCACCCCACCATCTATTACAAAATTTTAATTGTTCCACTGTTCTATAAGCGTCATTGTTCATTTCTGATGGTGTTTGCCGATATTTTATTTATTCATAAAATTGGCTCAGGTTTCATAAAACGACCTCGGTGTGATTACGACATGTTTATTTTTTAAACAGATTTTTCTTCTTTAATTTTTTTCCAAACTTAGTCTATACCGTTTTGGGATTCTAGTATATTTGCTTTTCCTCCAGTTAGAGATGATATTAAGTAGGGATAAAACAGTTCGATTCTACCATCTCCCCTTCTACATTTGCTCTCATTGTTTTCATAGTTAGGTTACCAAGCGTATAGCAGCCATGTGACAATTATCTATTTTGGCGATGCTCTTTGCCTCTGAAATTCCCACAGATCTATCGCATGTAGGTATTCGCTTGGAGCTATTTAAATTTCATCCTGAAATACGGAAGTTAATCATGGACAATTAGCGAATTTTTGAAAAATTATGTGGAAGCGGCTGAGATGTAGTTTTTAAACGAATGTTAAGCTCGCTTTGGACAAATTATAAAGAGCAAAGTGGATGTTTTGGAAAAACAGGCCCAAGAAAACAAAAAGAAAACTGCATGCACCAGAAGAAGACAGACTACATTCTTTGATCATATCATGACAAAGAGAAAACCAGAGTACATCGTAACGGCAGGAAAGTTGAAGTAGGGAAAGGGAACAGAGAGAAGATGCTGGACTATTTGATTTCATGTCATAGAAGATCTTTTGTGTCAGAACTGACGGACAGTACATGAGAGGAAATAATTTTTCTTTCTCATTCCAGATATTCAAATCTATTTAACTAAAATAAGATGACTTCTTTTCTAGAAAGCTGAACTGATTCGTTAATGTTTGTTTTTCATTCTACATAGAAGAATCAATTTAATTAAAATAAGCTGATCTCCATTCTAAATAGATGAATCGATTCCTTGATTATTTTTTTTTTCACTCTAGATACTGAAATCCATTTAATAAGAATATGACGATTTAAATTCAAAGTACTTAAATCGACTAATAAACATATAATATTTTAAATTCTAGATATTTAAAACCGTTAATCAAATACTTTTGAAATATTTCCATAAAGAGGAGGAACACAAAATGGTGATCAGTGGCAAAACGATTTCCAAGGAGGAAGATGGAGATGACTTCGACATGCTTGCACAATGGCTAGTGACACTAGTAAAGACAGCTCGCCGATATACGGGAGATGGAAACCCAGAGACGAGGACCACCTACAGAAACCCAGAAACGTGGACCACCTACGGAAACTCAGAGACGTGGACCACCTACAGAAACCCAGAGAAGTGGACAACCTACAGAAACCCAGACACGTGGACCACCTACAGAAACCCAGAGACGTGGACCACCTACAAAAAACCCAGAGACGTGGACCACCTACAGAAACCCAGAGACGTGGATAACCTACACAAACACAGAGACGTGGACCACCTACAGAAATCCACTTACCTAGGCCACCTACAGAAACCCAGAGACGTGGACCACCTACCGAAACCCAGAGACGTGGACCGCCTATGGAAACCCAGACACGTGGACAACCTACAGAAACCCAGAGACGTGGACCACCTACAGAAACCCAGAGACGTGGACCACCTACAGAAACCCAGAGATGTAGACAACCTACAGAAACCCAGAGACGTGGACAACCTACAGAAAACCAGAGACGTGGACCACCTACAGAAACCCAGAGACACGGACAACCTACAGAAACCCAGAGACGTGGACAACATACAGAAACCCAGAGACGTGGACCACCTACGGAAACCCAGAGACGTGGACCACCTACGGAAACCCAGAGACGTGGACCGCCTACAGAAACCCAGAGACGTGGACCACCTACAGAAACCCAGAGACGTGGACCGCCTACAGAAACCCAGAGACGTGGACCGCCTACAGAAACCCAGAGACGTGGACCACCTACAGAAACCCAGAGACGTGGACCACCTACAGAAACCCAGAGACGTGGACCACCTACATAAACCCAGAGACGTGGACCTCTAACAGAGACCCAGAGACGTGACTCACCTACGGAAATCCAGAAACGAACACTACAAGGGGAAATAAAGGAATGCAAAAGGACATGGAATACCATAGGCAGACAAGCAGTAGTCCAGCAGCAGTAGAGATCAGTAGTTAATGAATTCTATGTCAACGACGACATGAAGCGGATAGGCTGCGTGGTCTCGAGGCATGGCGTCCGCCTCGAGTGCTGGAGGTCCTGGGTTCAAGCCGGTAAAGGCTTTGAATTTTTTCATGCAGACTTCTAGTAAAGTCTCCTGGTCTCTGAGTAGTAAGATCGGACGCCTGCGTGTATTGTTGCACACGTACAAAAATTTCGTGGCAGTTGGAGATCGGAAAAGAGTAGCCTAACGGCGCTGTCTAGGCAAATTTTAAAGTTAAAAATGTACCTAAAGTATTTCAGGATCCTCGCCGGGGCTATGGAGTTCGTGCACTGCAGTAAGATTCTTTGAGCCAAATTTGAGTTAGAAGTAGAAAGGAGCACTTATGTTTTACTACTCTTGTGCATTGATATTGATTTCTAGTCTAAACCGATACCTACTTATTCGTCTAAACTTCATACAACCAGTATAAATAAATAAATAAATAAATAAATAAATAAATAAATAAATAAGTACACAAATGCTGAAATATGTCAATGATAATGTACAGTGAGAGAATTTATAACACGAAAAGTTACATACCCTGGCAAAAGGGGCTGAATTTGCACAGGAAAGCCCCAAACGGCCAGTTGGACGAGATCTGATTACCCATGTGAACCCACATACAGAACACGCCAACCATCAGGTCACTAATGGTGAGATTCAGCAGCAGCAAGTTGGTGGTATTCCTCATCTTCCTGTTCAGCAAGATAATCATCAGCACCATGGAGTTTCCTACGATGTCAAGAACCATAGCGATCACGTAGAAGGTCACCTTCAGGGCAATCTCCCAGGCCGGAAGCGTCAGAGGCGGTGCTGGTGCATCGTGGCTCTTGTAGTAGGAATCATTGACGTCATCTTCTCCTTCGTAAATAGTCCCTGGTATGCACGTTTCGTTGAAAGACATGTCGTGGTTAAAACGTCCTCTAATGCTGTTCTCTGAGGTGATATTCTATAACCGCTTTTAGTTTACAACAGTGATTTTACTCATTCTTTGTCTGAAGCTGGACGAAGGCAAGGGAAAACGATCACATTATTTTCCAAAGAAAAGTTTTATGAGCATGTCTTAAATCTAAAACGGAAGAGTGAAATGTTGAGAAGTTCCATATCAGTCTTCACGCTGAATAACCTGATTAGGCTAATAAATGCAATTTATCTGCTACCACAAGTGATATAATTTTTGTGATATGATAATTCATTGCGCAAGACTATAACAACTTCAGTGGGAGTGTTTGTTGACCGGTGGTACAGGATGTCCAATTTTTTCTTCAAAATGCATGAGCTTGAATTGCTGTGATTAAGAGAAAAAATGAAAAGAGCATTAAAAATATGTTTAAACACCACCATACTGATAAAGGTCTTGCCCTATATGCCCATACACCTGAAGGAGTTATAAAGGGTTCTTTACCTTGATAATCAATTACTTCCACGCAGTGAGAATACATTGATGTTGATGACATATTTACGTTCTTCCAGACGATGGTAGTACCTTGTGCTTCAGGGAGACAGGACGGTGCTTTCTTAATAACCTACTCCAAACAGGGGAAATCCGCAGGCCACGGGCCAGTCTAATATTTCAGGGGGTGGTCATGGGACCTAGGCTGCATGCAGTCGTGGAAACTAGGCTATACTCTCTCGTGGGACGTAGTAGGGTTGGAGTACGGGCCAGTTCTAGATGTTTTTGGGGTCGTTAACAACACCAGACAGCCGGGAAACCCAGTCTTACTACCCTCTGAAATGTTGGACTGTCCTGTGACGTCTTCTGGGGTATGATGTTACGAAACAACCGACATGACATCACAGATTAGGGGATGGACAGCGAAGGCCAGGGATGAAGTTCTTTCTCTTTATATCACAAAGTCTGGTCAGTCGTGTAGAGACTTTGTGTTGCCCATGCAACTAGAGCTCTCCCTCGGGGTGCCTTGTTCACTTCAAAGAAAATCCAACACCAATATATTTGGAACAAAGGAAGATATTACGGCGAATCATTTGGGGTGGGGAGAAAGGGGGATGGGGGACCTAAACTTCAACAGACCAGTACAAGAACACGGTCAATGGAAAAAGTTTTCTCTAAGAACAACAACTCTGGTTTGAGTAGTTTGTAAATATCATTTTAACTACACACATATGCCTCCACTGTAAACACCAGAATCAGAAGCATTACGTATGTATTACTTTTTAAGGGAAGTTATGGAGTTTCCGTCTGCGTCTGTGGCTTGGGCGTTGCGAATGCGCTTCGACACTCTTGGGTGGCAGCAGACCGCCTGGCGTTGATCTAGACAGTAGTAACTAGAGCTGAGCATTAAGGAAGCAATGAACGTTAAGTTGCCTCATGGAATCACAAACAGTCCCAAAAATGCTACTGGATGTGAGTGATTGCTTTCGTGGTTAAAATGCTGGATTTTCCATGCGGGTAAAACAGGTTCGAATCTGCAATAAGTGACGTAAGTTTTTTTTGTCCGGGGCAAAAAAAAAATATTTTAACCAGCTGGCAAGGGACCGACTCTCTCTCTCTCTCTCTCTCTCTCTCTCTCTCTCTCTCTCTCTCTCTCTCTCTCTCTCTCTCTCTGACTGGTTGTCATCTACTGACGGTCTGTAGAGAACTTGTTGCATGAAGACGATTATCTACACAGGTCTCGGTGACCGCACTAGCAATAAGACCATCTTCTTTCATTCTAGTCGGTTCGTGAGATCTCCATATTTTCTACGAGACTAAAATAAGCCACTTTCGGTTTGCTGGACCAGCCACAGTGTTCTCAAACTTTCAAGAAGGTCACACTTGAACTAAACTATCACATTCAGACTAGTTTAACACTACGTCCACTCTAGAATGTCCGAAACTGACCCTAGTTAGATGCTTGCCTAAAAATAAGCATCCCTTTGCCTCGCCATCTTGACGGCCATAGAACCTAAAAATCTCTTGTTAACAGTTCTAAGCATATTCAGTTTCCTTGAATCATCGAAAGATGGCGGAGGGTGGGGTGGGATGGGGGGGGGGGGGAAGGGGGAAGGGAGGGGAAGCCTCACTGTTTGAGACCATCAGCCTATGGTGACCCGCCTGAGGTATTCACTTCGCAAGTGCAATTTTGTCAGGATTCGTAGCTGGAGATACATAGTTTGTGCTTTACAGTGAGCAGCCATGCTGAAAAGTGAAACATAGCCAGCTAGGATCAAACCCACTGTACTAACCTTGCTCCAGTTAACTTACATATCTTCAAAATATTGGACTTTAGAGTTTAAATGACAATTTTCAGAAAGTTTAAAACTAATAACACAACGAACAACCAGTTGTCAAACTAACAAAACACCCCCCCCCCCACCCCCCAAAGAATAACCTACAATTTGTTTAAACAAATAAAAACAACCAACAAAACAGCTATAACTTACCACAGCTACGAAAAAAAATAGAAAACTAAGCACTAAACATTTTTTTTAGCAATGTTTAAAAAACCAATCAACTAGTTTAACAAATAGACAGAAATATCAAAGGACCATCAAATCGGCCAACTAACAAACTAATCAATAAATCACGGAAACTAGTAAGCTAATCCACAAAGCAAACTACCAATCAAGTAACTAGCAAATCAAACAAACATGAGCTAAACAACAAATCAACCAATCACAAATCAACAAACCAATTAACCTATGATAAAATCGGTAAACTAACAGAAACAACCTACAAATACGTTAAGACTTCAACCATCCAGTCAACCAACAAATCAGTCAAAATTAAACTAATCAAGAAATCAAGTGACCAATGACGAAACTAACAAATTAGTCAAGAAATCAACCGAAAAATAAAATAACCAACAAATCTGCCAACAATTAAACTGATTATTAAACCAAGTTACCAGTGACGTAATCAACAAATTTACCATGAAATCAACCGACAAATAAAACAACCAACACAGCATCCAACAATTAAACTAATCAATAAATCAAGTCCCTAGTCATGTAGCCAACAAATCAACCAAGAGAACAGCCACACACACACACACACACACACACACACACACACACACACACACACACACACACACACACACACAAACCAATGAGCAAATCAAGCAAATAGTTAAACTAATTAAGAAATTAAACGACTACTCAAGTAACTTACACGACAATTAAAATATCAACAAAAAAGCGAATCAACCAAGAAAACTCTCATTCAACCAACAAAATAACGAATCAACTAACAAACAAATCAACCAATCAATGTATCAACTAAACCAGTCAACCAACCAAAGAATACCTCTAGTAAGAACAATCCAAACTAGCCACCAATGGCTGTTTTTCAGAAATGTCTCACTTTGTTTCTCATTGGTCACTGTAACCAAGTGTTCATTTTCCTGCAAGCAGCTGAAGCTATCGGGGCATTATGATTGGTTTGTTTGTTTGTTTTAGTACCCAGAAGCCATGAGTTGTTAACCGTACTATACATTCCTATGTAAATCCATACTTCCTTTTTAGGATGAAATTTGTTGTCTTTTGAAGCCCCACCCTGGCTTTTGCCAAGGGCCGCAATATAGGCAGGCCATAAATATGGCCAATTGTCTAAACGCGATTTCTGGGACCTCTCCACGGTGATCCTCATCCACATGGTGACACTTTGTGTCATTGGGTGTTTATCGCTTGTGTGATGTCCTGGTGGGGTAGAAAGTCAGTCAGTCAGTTGTTAACCCTTAGGCTCGGTATTATGGATATCGCAACCTTTCGGCCTTGATTCTATTGTAAATACTGTAAATCTGGGAGAAAATGTGGCTTTTCTGCCTACACCTGGAATTGAACCCGGACCACAAGGAGCTCGTCACCCGGTCTCCGCGCAATCCTGTTTAGCCAACTACGCTAGAGAGCCGGGGTTATGATTGGTTAAAAGATTTAACAGCGATAAAAAATCTAAGCTTTGAGCTAACACAAGTTTACATGTAGCTAAAGGTTTCTAAGGGACTGAGCCTCGAGAGGCAGGGGGTAAGAAGTGTTGGTGTTGTGGGTAGTGGGTTCCCCCCCTTACTTCACCCTAGGTCTAGTGAATATCTGTTCACGAAAGGAGCGTCCATTGTGGTGTCAGCCTCTTGACCTAGCAAAACCTCTCTTACCTCAAGACCATTGTGCGTGGCGAAGAGTCACAGCCTCCCCGAGGTAGTCCCGGTAACTGGGGGTGCGAATCCCCAGGCAAAACACAATGGATCTAGAGGAGCAAACCTCGATAATAAACCCGGTGCACCACACCGTACTGCCCCCTGTGGGAGGGAAGGAGCCAGAGGTGTGCTGAACAGTCTTAGGAATGGAAACAAGTATGCTAACCCCCCTGAATACCGGAAACTATCGTGAAGGCACAGGGACTCAGGACGTGACGATCCAGTTGCCCCAACTACTCATGCTTAGGCCATGCTTAGAGACATGAAGAGCTCAGCGAAACCTGCAGGCAATCTGGTGGCGGGGAATGAGCACACTGTGAGCCCCACCTTAGCTACGTGTTAAAGGGAAAGGCAGAAACACAACCCATATTTCCTTTAGAACTGGTACAGGGCATTTCTAGCTGCTGCCCGGGGAGGTAGGTAATCCACAGACACCCCAGCACCACAATGCCATGAATATGTCAAAATTTAAGAATACATACGAGATCGGTCGTCGCCTCGTCTATCAAGGCCCGCGCCAGACAGTGGGAAACCAGGCTGTCATGTGCGAAAAATTGGCTACTGGAAAATTTGAAATAAATAGGGAAAACAGACACCCCAGGAGGAGGAAGAGTGGGAAGGAGAGCAAAAAGAACTCAGACCGCAAAGCAAAAAATACACAGATGCTCAATATTCTGCAGCTGAACATCTGTGGAATAAGAAATAAGAAACTTGAACTTGCCAAACTGCTAAACAACCACAGGGTACACGTGGCTGCCCTACAAGAAAC